GTTGATTTAACCATAGAAAAGAGGGAATCATCAGGTAACAAGGGCTTATTGATACGGAATTTAAATATATTTTTTTTTGTTTTTTTGAAAAAAAAAATGCTACAAAAGATCTTACGAAAACCCGTTTAGTTGAATTAGTTCAAATATTTTCGAAAACTGTTTATTCATACAATCCTAAAAGTTGTAAAAATTAGAAAAGAGAAAAAATTGTTTCTCAGTTTCATAGCTTTAATCTAAAAACATATTAATTATTATATTAAAACACATTTACAATATTAAAAAATTTCAATATATAATTCATATTTTAGTTTTGAAAAATTATTTTCATATCACAAACCAAACAAATACTAACCTATCTTAATTTTATTTGAGGTTCAATATCCCTATTCTCAAACAATTAAGTGAAAGCCTTTATGCACCATGCTTATCTTGTAAAAGTTTTAGGAAACACAGAGTTCTTAGAAATGAACTCTTATTCATTTAAATATGGATTCATCACATATAGGATAAACTCGGTAATTATCTCTTTTAGGACTCAAACATAAGACCTCTGAATATAGCTAACTAATGGCAAAGGTTTGCCATCCACAAAAAATGAGAAGTTATTCATCATATATTAGTTAACAGTAATGAATACTAAAGACAAATTTAAACCGTTAGGACATTGATAACATGGATGTCTACGGAAAGACTATAGAAAGTTGGAGATATCATATTAATCTTTCCTCTTGTTATTCTCATAATTAAAATGATTATAATCCCTTTGAACAATGGCAGATTGATCTACGAGGAGACATTTCAGGCCTCCTTCTTTCATCCAAACTCTCCTCTCATCACCTTCACCATTTCGAAGCCATCGACCCAATCTTTCCTCCATTTCCAGCCGTTTTGAATCCAAAACCACCTCATGAAGCTGCAAAATTTGACCAATCACGTCTTCTTCACAATCAATCTGCCCTCACAGGGAACGCCGCTGGACATTCTATTTCTTGGGGCTACTCAGCCATATTTATGAAAGCTTATTGCCTAGCTCGAAGCTTTCTGAGAAGCTCCTTGAGACATTTAACCCATGAAAAATGATACTTCCCCGTTCTCATGTCAACACCTCGCTCGCCACAAAGGATTCTTGCAAAGTTCCTCATGCCCTTCTACTATATTATTTCATAATATTTTTGGTTCGGGGTATGAAATACCTGATATTCAATGTTTGGTGAAGGGAAGCATTTTTCTTGGAAGATATTAAAAATGGTGAAGGAGATCAAGTTGTCACTAGTTACGTTCGAAATTCGCCCCGAAATTCGTCTCCTTGCGTCATCGGAAGGCAATTCTTCATTGGATTCTGTCTACAAAATTCTTAGGACATTGGGTGTTTTAATCCTAGGTTGTAAAAGAATATTTGAGTCTACACATGCACATTTAAAGGGTTCACTTTATTTATTGTTAACCTTTTCATTGTAATTCCGGCCGAAATTTTAGAATGTGTGATGTTGAAACATAGTTGCTAAGGGCACGGCGGATGTGAGGTTAGGGCTTGCATGAAGGGTGAAATGTTGGCTAAAATGTGATTTCGTATCAGTGCAATAATCTTGGAAGCCTTAAGAAACCCATTGCTCAGATTTTATTAACTACAAATTGATCAATATTTTGGACAATAACAGAGAAAATATATCAAGAGATGACCAAAGTGACGAAGATTAATTGACTGATGAAGCAATCAGTAAGAAGAGAATAAATCCACCGAAAATTAAGGGAAGAAAAATTTATGCAAAGCTATATTAACTTATCGCCTTATCTATCAATTCAAACAAATACATTAATACCAAATCCAATAATAGAATAAATAAACTAAAACAAATATAAAGATGAAAAATCACTTTGATAGTTGAGAGAAATATGTATCAAATATAATTTCCTAAAATCATTTGTCTATGCTGTTATTGAATGCAGTGACAGAGCCACTAAAAGGGTGAGAGTGGGGCATTGATGCATTATACCTTAGGGTATCTTACTACTATGTGTTAACATTAGCAGTAGCACCCGTTTATTTTAATTCAAAGTACCCTAATCTTAGCATTATCATTTTTTTTTATTTTTTTTTTTTTTATAACTCAAATGTATTTTAATTTATTTTTTGATGCACTAAAAAGTCGATTCTTCATGAATAAATTTTTAATATTTAATTTTTTTTTTCCTTTTCCCTACTGAAACAAACCCTGGCTCCATCCTTGATCAGAAGCTCCTTGCAAGTTTGGTTATTTTGCAACAATACATTCATGGCATGAAAAACGCTTAATCAAAAAGCACTTTTCTCCGGAAAGGGCTTATCATTTTGTGGAAGATTTGGTATGGGAAACTCAACATGCATGCTTGAAGCACTTGAGGGAAAAAAAAAAATTGATATAAAATCATGCCACTTCACGAGAGTAATGCTTTAAGCCCCTCTTCATAATTTGTTATTAGCAAACTTGTTATAAATAAGGCTAGATCACGTGCTTTAGCAACTTAATTTAACAAACCTTTTCAGAAAATTCATATATAATTGCAATTCAATTATATATTGAATTGAATCTCCAAAATGTCTTCCAAAAATGGAATCAAATTCATCAAAAGCAACAAAATTTGCAGCATTTAACTCTAGGAAAATTGTGCAAATTTATAGTATTTCAGGGCTGGTTCCTTCTTGTTCTATATTTTCATTTTAAACCACTTATAACCATTCTTCTAATCATTTAGCTCTCTCTAAATTCATTGGCCATCCAATTCTTCCAATGTATACAATTCAAATTCAACTTCAAAAATTGCTCCCTCTCCTCCACCCATAGCCACATTGTTTTCGGCATTGCCGGCTCCTTAAATGGATGGAAATTCAGAAAACCTACATTGAGTATGGTGGCAAGAAATGTGACAAGGGGTTACTTTTAGATATTCCTCTACTGACGAGTTTTTACCATGGCCTTCGTCGTCGCCTCCCTTCAGACAACGAGGACATCTCTCGACTAAATCTATACGCCAAAATAGTAGAAGTTTCAAGTTCGAGTGTTTCGAACGATTCTAGAGGTGTTCAAGCAGAGAATAAAGACGTGAGATGGTACGTGATGGCGGACGACGATACTATTCTGTTTGTTGATAATTTGGTTAATGTGCTAGCAAAGTATGACCACACTCAAAATCTTTACATTGGGACAAATTCTGAGTGCATTACTTCAAATCTTTTTGCTTCTTTTGGCATGGCTTTCGGTGGAGCTGGAATTGCCTTGAGCATTCCTCTAGCCAAACAATTAGTAGGAAAGATTGATGAGTGTCTAGCGAGATACCAGAATTTGTATGCCAGTGACTTCATGTATACTCCTGTTTGAAGATTTAGGAGTTGCCCCCACTCTCAGAAAGGTTTTCATCAGGAAATCGTAAACCGTTTTCGATTATTTTTTCTTTCAGAATATAGTAATCTGTACGTCTATCTCATGAAATCCTAGCATAATCAAGGGCGGACTGTAGAGAGGGCTTGTTGAGGCTGTTTAGTCCAAGTAGCCCTCGTGAAAAAAAGTTTAATTATAATCATTTACCCGAGTTTTTTGTAATGGCAGATTGATCTACACAATGACATATCAGGTTTTCTATCAGCTCATCCTCAGTCTCCGGTGCTCTCCTGCACCACATTGATAGCGTAAACCCGATCTTCCCCACTCTCAGTCGTTCAGAATCCGTAAACCACCTGATGAAGGTGGCGAAAGTCGACAGTTCACGTCTCTTGCAGCAAACGATATGCTACCGCAGGCAAACCAACTGGTCTTTCTCTGTTCCGGGGCTACTCAACACATATATACGAAATGATATACCCTCGAAATGTTCTGGTGAAAACCTTCAGACATTTTCGCCATGGAGAAAAAACGACAGGCCGCCACTTTTCATGTTTGACACCCGGATGTCAAGAATAATTCTGCGAAACAACCCATGTTTTTTCTTTGAATCTGTAAAGAATTCTACAGGAAATCGAGTGGTTACAACCTATAGCCGGGTGTTGCCAGAAACCTGCCGCCTTGTTCAATAGTGGCAATCATTCTGCAGATTTCATCAAAAAAATTCAAGTTTTTTCCCTTCAACAACGCCAAGGAGGTGAGTTATGTTACTATCCTTGCTTTTACTGCATATCAGAATTTTTTCGGCATATTACAGAAATGAGCTTTTGTATCTTCCAGGAGGGAAAAATCGATGCTGCGACATTGAGGAGACGACGAGACGACTGTTACTGAGTCAAGTTAAGGGCATGCAGAGAAGATGAAATTATTTAATATTTCCAAATTTGATTCAAATTTTTTATGTTCAGCACTGGTGCATTTGCAGAAAGTGTTGTTTACATGCCACCTTCAAATTCTTTCATCATGTTCCAAAGTTTTTGGTGAATTTTCAAGCTGATTCATGCCAGAAATACTATGTAAAGACTTCGATAAACAACTGTTTTTACCATTAACATCTAGTACGGTAATTTACACTTTACAGTAATCTCAAATTTCTATTTACTAGATGATTGTCAAATAACCTAATTTTTCTAATAGCTAAAGTAGAATAGGCCTTTTCTTTTTTAAAGATAATAAAATAATAATAAAAATTTAAAAATTTAAAAATTAATATGATTAATTAACGAATTTATAATATTTAACTTTAAATTATGATATTACAAAATCAAATTAAAATATATATAATTTTCTTTAACTATTCAGATCATTTCCAACATTAATATCTATATTTATACCCCCATTTGTATTATTATTATAAGTACATATTAAAATCAAAAGGTTTAAACTTTGAATATACTCTCTAATACGTATCGTTAGTGATCTATATGAATCGTATCTAGAATACATAACGCGTATCTTAGGATACTAATAACCATGCTAACAGCAATGATAAGGGCAAAAAATCAGATATCAATTGGCACCAAGCATAAGTAACTTCAGAATTCAAATAGAGTGCAAATAAGCATTGATAAATGCAAAAACAAATTGCAGAAAATTAGAAACTTATGGATTATTTTGAGAAAAATCCACACAAATGAATGTCAGCTAACTGGGAAGAAAAAATACAACGCAGAATTACCACAACTAATTCCGAATTTTCAGCATGTATAGATATTCAAGAAACCTCATCATATGGCCCTATATTCCCATGAATCCAATTGGTATCTTATACCTACTTTTCTAAACCAACAATAACTTGAGACTTCAAAGCTCGTCATTGACAGCTGGCAATGCTTTTTCCTCGTCGTGAGCCTTTTGAAGTCCTATCAAACGAGCGTAGTCCACCCACCTGCCAAGGCAAATTGAAAGTTTGTAAGTGGCGACAGAGTGAACTATCCTAACTACACACATTTTTGGGAGGATAGAAACAGGATCTTACAATAATGAACCCAAGTATGTGTTGCCAGTTCGGACAGCAAAACAAACTGCACTGAGTATGAGCTTGTGTTGATGCAGTAAGGGCTCCAAAATCCGTTGTTCAATAACCCCCGCCAGCAGTTGGTACCTGTCAAACACAACTATCGCTTAAGTAAAATGTTCCTATACCAACTAGCCTTCATCCATTTCCTCTCTCCTCCCAAAAGATATATCATGAATGACACTTTTTTTAAAGAAATTTTCCGTGGGATAGCACAAGTGAAAAAGGGATTAGATGGTATTAGCTTGAAATTTTGAGAAATTATGACAAGTAAATTAGAAATGGATGCTTCAACAAAAAATAAAACATGCTTTCCAATCATCATATACAGGCATATATGACTACATGAGCCTTCAACAGCCAAACTCAAGTTAAGACGTATTGCTACATGACAATATTAATTGATAACTCAGTTGCAAGCCAACTACTGAATATCATCATGGCTTCCGTTTGCGAGATTAAGAACTCAAAAAATGGAACTGCCAGGAATTCTTTGAGACTTCACACCATTTTCTAAAGATATTTAAAATAGCAATCTGGCATATATGATATGTATTAGCAAAATCATAGAAAAGATGAATGGGAAAGGCAGTTCCAGAAATAATAGCAAGACCAGGATTTGAACATAGTGATATGTATCTGAACCTACATACCTGAGGTTGCTAGAAACTGCCATGTAAACACCATAGGCAGCACTGGTGGAAAATATGGGCACATTTTCAACTTCAGCAGCAGCATTCTTATCCACAGCCTTCCGTGCATTAATCACGGCATTTGTCACAGCTGTACCAACCTAGAACAACAAAATTGCATTAAAATGCACACATATTCAGATTTCAGATCCTGAATTGAATAATCAAATCTCAAAGACAATAATATTCAATAGCAAATTTAATAACCCCTCAAGAACTTTATATTGCACAGTATTTTAAAACCTTAAAAAAAGGGACAAACACAAGCATAATTTACAAACTAAATAATTGAAAGCAACAAGGAAAACATAGCCCGAATGACAGTTTCCACAGTGGATGAGGAGAGTTTAAACTTATAGCCAAGCCGCTACTATATGTTTTATTTTATTTTTTATTTTTTATTTTTTTTGGTAATCCAAATGTCCCCGACCATTCCTACAAGTTCACAGAGTCCTATGTTGCGGGCTATGGCCAAATCCTACAACCTTAAATGTCAAGAAACCTATGGGAATATCACAAGTAAGGAGCGTGGAAACCATCACCTCTTTGTTGAAACCAAATAAGCCTTAACACTCAATCCAACCCTTGAGGTTAGTAACTAATTTACCACTGGAAAGATGCAACTGAAAAAGAAGTCACAGAACGATACCTGTTCCCGTTTATCTTCATTCTTTTTATACCAATTATGGGGTACAGAAAAAATTATTTTTGACTAATGCATAAGGCACTCCACTTTATACCAACGTGAAGCTTTAAAGGAACCATATTCATCTAATTAAAACCTCCAATCCCATTCTATTATAAGTTTTACAAACATATTATACTATTCAGAATGGATTCTCTTTAGTGGGGCTGTGGGTTGTGGGTGTAAAAGCTCCGTTTACTACTTGATAAGCTCTCAATCACAGTAATACAACGAATGATCCTTACACCAAATGCCTTCAAATGAATCGTGATTCATAATTTATTCTTTTAAAACATGTCCGATTCCTGTATATATCCCGTTGATAATGAAAATATTATCAAGGTCACAAAGAGAACGATAAAAAAAATTAAAAACAGAGAAGCATGTGGCTAAATCAAGGAACTTCCTATAAGGAAAATAGTAACTTACCAGTGATGAAGCGGTACCAACTGCAAAAAGCTTTGTCCCATTTCGCTGCAGAATAAATATAATAACACAAAATAAAAGGTTTTGCTCTGCACAAGAAAATTGAAATTCAAATAAAATATAAGCAACATACAAAAATATCTCCTTACCACTACGGCACCTAATCTCTGTAAAAAAGAATATGAAGTTCCGGCAAGAGCAACCTGCATAGAAAATTTAGTACTCAGATGACTTCTGTAGTTCATATTTTCCAGAAACAGATTTTCCGGTATTTGGACAATATGGAACCTGAAATGCATTATCCGGACAGTTGTGAAAGAACTTGGTAATAGATCCAGCACTGGCTGCAACAGATGATCGAAGAGAGACAGTAGGAGCAGGAAGATAAACAAGCATGAAATCTGCAATTATGGCCATGACCTAAGAGAAAAAATGAATTGAAAACTTAAATGATAGATATTACACATACTTAAAATGCAAGGCATAGACTTCGCACATATTTTTAACTTCAAAAATAGGCTTTGGGATGACAATTCTATTTTGGTCATTGTAGCAGCAATTTACAGAAGATAATACTTGTTCCAACTAAGAAACTAAAGTCAATCCCCAGAAATACAATGCTGTTATCAAGGCAAAGATTCTATGGAACACACAAGAATAACATATTTTGAACTTTATATCCCAAAAAAACATGTAATTTTTCAATTTAGTTAATATTTTGTGCCCAAATGGACAAATCTAAAAAACATTGAACATCAATTCAATTATAACTGCAACATATCAGAGAAATTGCCTTAGGTGAACATCAATATTGAGCACCCACTATGAGAGCAACCCAGCTGCTTAATAAAGGGCAACCCTTTTAAAAAGAAAACCAGAATCAAATCACAGTTTTTGCCAAGAAACATCAACCTTGCAGCAAAAGCAACAATAATCTAGAAAATTATAACAACTGATCATGAATGAAAAGAACCATACCACATCTGCAAAAACAATTTCAAGCTCCTTGAAAAAATTTTCTCTGCGCCGATCATACTCTGCTGCAGTCTGGAAAATTGAAGAAAAAGATTAACTTTGTGAGATTCGGATTCCAGGTTAGAATAAATTACAAAGTAATGGTGAGAGAGCAAGAATAGTTAAGCATCCAGGAGAGCAAAGCTTTTCTCCTAGATTCTGTGATTTACTATCTTATGCAAGCATAAGTAAACAAACCCAACAAATCAATTGAGACTACGCAAAACATAGCACCAAGGGATCACATATTGAAACCAAATACCAGCAATAACACTGCCCCAAATACATAACTTTTAGCCCCACCTTAGTTTAGGTCAATATTTCAGTATAATCTCTCATACACGTCAATACACATTATGTGTTCGCTGTTACATAACTGAACATCGTTTAATTAACAAAACCAGCCTTAGAGCAGTCATAATAAAAATTGTAATTCTATGTAATTTTAACCCCTGCCATCTCTGTGCATTCCCGGAATCTGAACTCAAATTCCAAAATTTCAGAATGTAAAACAACCCCCATTGTCAGCATAACCAAGATGTGTCATCTACAGGTAATTTAGCCAGTATCGGATAACTTCCTTAACATGTCCTATCTTCATTCATAAACAAGGCAACATCAAGGTCTCAACCAGGCCCCCACAGAATCCCACCATCTTCGAAAAGCAGGAAACTCAACCAAACCCGAATTAAACTACACAGCTTGTGGAAGCATACTAAATGTCTGACTAATCAACCAATCCCTCAAAATTAACGATTTGGTCGAATTGCAGCACTTGAGCAACATATTAGAATTGAAATTGCTCCAAGGTATTCTGTTTCTTTCCAATATCCTCTGTTTATAATACCCATAACTAATCAATTAAGCAAATTTCACTCCTTGATCAATCAATCTTCATAAAAATCAATACTTTAACTTTCATTTCATTCACACAGAAACAAAAACAAACAGGCATGCATCCCCTAAAAGCCAAAATCACGCAGCCAAAAAAGGTGAAAAAACAAACCTTGGTGAAGATCCCAACACCGCACTCAAAAAAAACTTTAGCCAAGAAAAGATCATCAGCCAATAACCTCTCTTTAAACCCACCAAACTGCATCAACCAACGAAATAACCCAGACATCTCTCGACTAAAATCATACGCCAAAATTAGAAAGAAGTTTCAAGTTCGAGTGTTTCGGACGATTCTGAGGTGTTCAAGAGAGAATAAAGAGTGAGATTGTACGTGATGCGGACGAAGACACTATTCTGTTTGTTGATAATTTGGTTAATGTGCTAGCAAAGTATGACCACACTCAAAATCTTTACATTGGGACAAATTCTGAGTGCATTACTTCAAATCTTTTTGCTTCTTTTGGCATGGCTTTTGGTGGAGCTGGAATGCCCTGAGCTATCCTCTAGCCAAACAATAGTAGGAAAGATTGATGAGTGTCTAGCGAGATACCAGAATTTGTATGCCAGTGACTATGTATACTCCTGTTTGACAGATTTAGGAGTTGCCCTCACTCCTCAGAGGGGTTTCATCAGGTAAATCGAAACCGTTTTCGATTATTTTTCTTTCAGAATTAGTAATCTGTACGTCTATCTCATAAATCCGTACATAATCAAGGGCGGACTGTAGAGAGGGCTTGTTGAGGCTTTAGTCCAAGTAGCCCTCGTGAAAAAAAGTTTATTTAATCATTTACCCGAATTTTTTGGTAATGGCAGATTGATCTACACAATGACATATCAGGTTTTTATCAGCTCATCCTCAGTCTCCGGTCCTCTCTTGCACCACATTGATTAGCGTACACGATCTTCCCTCCTCAGTCGTTCAGAATCCGTAAACCATGATGAAGGTGGCGAAGTCGACAGTTCACGTCTCTTGCAGCAACGATATGCTCAGCAAGCAAACAACTGGTCTTCTCTGTCTCCGGGGCTACTAACACATATATACGAAATGATATACCCTCGAAATGTCTGGTGAAACCCCTTCAGACATTTCGCCATGGAGAAAACGACAGGCCGCCACTTTTCATGTTTGACACCAGGGATGTCAAGAATAATTCCTGGAAACACCCCATGTTTTCTTCTTTGAATCTGTAAAGAATTCTACAGGAAATCGAGTGGTTACAACCTATAGCCGGGTGTTGCCAAGAAACCTGCCGCCTTGTTCAAAAAGTGGCAATCATTCTGCAGATTTCATCAAAAAAATTCATGTTTTCCTCAACAACGTCAAGGAGGTGAGTTATGTTACTATCCTTGCTTTTACTTCATATCAGAATTTTTTCGGCATATTACAGAATGAGCTTTGTATCTTCCAGGAGGGAAAAATCGAATGCTGCGACATTGAGGAGACGACTGAGACGACTGTACTGATTCAAGTTAAGGGCATGCAGGGAAGATGAAATTATTTAATATTTCAATTTTTATTCAAATTTTTTATGTTCAGCGCTGGTGCATTTGCAGAAAGTGTGTTACATGCCACCTTCAAATCTTTCATCATGTTCCAAGTTTTTGGTGAATTTTCAAGCTGATTTATGCCAGAAATCACTTGTAAAGACTTCGATAAACAACTGTTTTACCATTAACATCTTCTAGTATGGTAATTTACAGCAAGCTAAAATTCTATTTACTAGCATGATTGTCAAATAACCTAATTTTTGAATCATACGGTAGCCTTTTTCAAAAAAAATAAAATAATAAAAATTTAAAAATTATATATTTAAGATTAATTAACGAATTTGTAATATTATTAACTTTAAATTATGATAATATATAATCAAAATTAAAATAATACATTTCCTCTCAATTATTTATATCATTTCAAATTAATTCAATATTATATCCATTGTGTATTATTGTAAATACATTTAATATATTAAAGGTTTTAACTTTAGAATACACCTTTGATACATATCGTAGTTATGACTTATCAATCGATCATAGATACGTATAGCCATCTTAGGATCTAATAACCATGCTAACAAACAAGATAAGAGCAAAAATCAGATATCAATTGGCACCAAGCATAAGTAACTTCAGAATTCAAATAGAGTGCAAATAAGCATTGATAAATGCAAAAACAAATTGCAGAAAATTAGAAACTTATGGATTATTGAGAAAAATCCACACAAAGAATGTCAGCTAACTGGGGAGAAAAAATACACGCAGAATTACCACAACTAATTCCGAATTTTCAGCATGTATAGATATCAAGAAACCTCACATATGGCCCTATTCCCATGAATCCAATTGTATCTTATACTACTTTTCTAAACCAACAATAACTTGAGACTTCAAAGCTCGTCATTGACAGCTGGCATGCTTTTTCCTCGTCGTGGAGCCTTTTGAAGTCTATCAAACGAGGTAGTCCACCCACCTGCCAAGGCAAATTGAAAGTTTGTAAGTGGCGACAGAGTGAACTATCCTAACTACACACATTTTGGGAGGATAGAAACGGATCTTACAATAATGAACCAAGTATGTGTTGCCAGTTCGACAGCAAAACAAACTGCACTGAGTATGAGCTGGTGTGATGCAGTAAGGGCTCCAAAATCCGTTGTCAATAACCCCCGCCAGCAGTTGGTACTTCAACACAAACTATGCTTAAGTAAGATGTTCCTATACCAATAGCCTTCATCCATTTCCTCTCTCCTCCCAAAAGATATATCATGAATGACACTTTTTTTAAAGAAATTTTCCGTGGATAGCACAAGTGAAAAAGGGATTAGATGGTATTAGCTTGAAATTTTGAGAAATTATGACAAGTAAATTAGAAGGATGCTTCAACACAAAAATAAAACATGCTTTCCAATCACATATACAGGCATATATAACTATAGAGCCCTAACAGCCAAACTCAAGTTAAGACTATTGCTACATGACAATATTAATTGATAACTCAGTTGCAAGCCAACTACTGAATATCATCATGGTTCGGTTTGCGAGATTAAGACTCAAAAAATGGAACTGCCAGGAATTCTTGAGACTTCAACCATTTTCTAGATTTAAAATGCAATCTGGCTATAGATTTGTATTGCAAATCATAAAGAGAAAGAAGATAAGTAAGCAAAATATATGAAGCCAGGATAAAGAAAGGATATGTATCTGAACTACATACCTGAGGGTGCTAGAAACTGCCATGTAAACACCATAGGCAGCAAGGTGGAAAATATGGGCACATTTCAACTTCAGCGCAGAGCATTCTATCCACAGCCTTCCGTGCATTAATCACGGCATTTGTCACAGCTGTACCCACCTAGAACAACAAAATTGCATTAAATGCACATATTCAGATTCAGATCTGAATTGAATAATCAAATTCAAAGACAATAATATTCAATAGCAAATTTAATAACCCTCAAGACTTAATTGCACAGTATTTTAAAACCTTCAAAAAGGGACAAACACAAGCATAATTTACAAACTAAATAATTGAAAGCAACAAGGAAAACATAGCCCGAAGACAGTTTCCAAGTGGATGGGAGAGTTTAAACTATAGCAACCGCTATACATGATTTATTATTTTTTATTTTTTTTGGTAATCCAAATTCCCCGACATTCCTACAAGTTCACAGAGTCCTAATTGCGGCTATGGCCAAATCCTACAACCTTAAATGTCAAGAAACCATGGGATATCACAAGTAAGGAGCGTGGAAACCATCACTCCTTTGTGAAACCAATAGCCTTACACTCAATCCAACCCTTGAGGTTAGTAACTAATTTACCACTGGAAGATGCAACTGAAAAAGAAGTCACAGAAGATACTGTTCCCGTTACTTCAATCTTTTTATACCAATTATGGGGTACAGAAAAATTATTTTTGACTAATGCATAGGCACTCCACTTTAACCAACAACAAAAAATGAGAAGTTATTCATCATATATTAGTTAACAGTAATGAATACTAAAGACAAATTTAAACCGTTAGCGACATTGATAACATGATGTCTACTGGAAAGACTATCAGAAAGTTGGAGATATCATTATAATCTTTCCCCTTGTTATTCTCATAATTAAACTGATTATAATCCCTTTGAACAATGGCAGATTGATCTACGAGGAGACATTTCAAGCCTCCTCTCTTCTCATCCAAACTCTCCTCTCATCACCCTTCACCATTTCGAAGCCATCGACCCAATCTTCCCCTCCATTTCCAGCCGTTTTGAATCCATAAACCACCTCATGAAAGCTGCAAAATTTGATCAATCACGTCTTCTTCAACAATCAATCTGCCATCACAGGGAACGCCGCTGGACATTCTCTATTTCTTGGGGCTACTCAGCTCATATTTATGAAAGCTTATTGCCTAGCTCGAAGCTTTCTTAGGAAGCTCCTTGAGACATATAAGCCATGGAAAATTGGTTCCCCGTTCTTCATGTTCAACACTCGCTCGCTCACTAAGGATTCTTGCAAAGTTCCTCATGCCCTTCTTCTATTTGATTTTCTACTATATTATTTCATAATATTTTTGGTTCGGGGATATGAAATACCTGATATTCAATGTTCTGGTGAAGGGAAGCATTTTTCTTGGAAGATATTAAAAATGGTGAAGGAGATCAAGTTGTCACTAGTTACGTTCGAAATTCGCCTCGAAATTCGTCTCCTTGCTCATCGGAAGGCAATTCTTCATTGGATTCTGTCTACAAAATTCTTAGGACATTGGGTGTTTTAATCCTAGGTTGTAAAAGAATATTTGAGTCTACACATGCACTTCTGAAGGGTATCACTTTATTTATTTGTTAACCTTTTCATTGATAATTCCTGGCCGAAATTTTAGAATGTTGTGATGTTGAATACATAGTTGCTAAGGGCACGGCGGATGTGAGGTTAAGGGCTTGCATGAAGGGTGAAATGTTGGCATAAAATGTGATTTCGTATCAGTGCCAATAATCTTGGAAGCCTTAAGAAACCCATTGCTCAGATTTTATATTAACTACAAATTGATCAAATATTTTGGACAATAACAGAGAAAATATATCAAGAGATGACCAAAGTGACGAAGATTAATTGACTGATGGAAGCAATCAGTAAGAAAGAGAATAAATCCACCGAAAATTAAGGGAAGAAATATTATGCAAAGCTATATTAACTTATCGCCTTATCTATCAATTCAAACATAATACATTAATACCAAATCCAATAATAGAAATAAATAAACTAAAAAAAATATTAAAGATGAAAAATCCTACTTTGATAGTTGAGAGAAATATGTATCAAATATAATTTCCTAAAATCATTTGTCTATGCTGTTATTGAATGCAGTGACAGAGCCACTAAAAGGGTGAGAGTGGGGGCATTAATGCATTATATCTTAGTGTATCTTTCTATTATGTGTTGTAACATTAGCAGTAGCACCCGTTTATTTTAATTATCAAAGTACCCTAAATCTTAGCATTATCATCTTTTTTATTTTGTTTTGTTTTTCTCATAACTCAAATGTATTTTAATTTATTTCTTTTGATGCACTAAAAAGTCGATTCTTCATGAATAAATTTTTAATATTTAATATTTTTTTTTCCTTTTCCTTTTCCCCTAGTGAAACAAAACCCTGGCTCCATCCCTGATCATAAGCCCTCCTTGCAAGTTTGGTTATTTTGCAACAATACATGCATGGCATGAAAAACGCTTAATCAAAAAGCACTTTTCTCCGGAAAGTGTTTATCATTTTGTGGAAGATTTGGTATGGGAAACTCAACATGCATGCCTTGAAGCACTTAAAGGGAAAAAAAAATTTGACATAAAAATCATGCCACTTCACGAGAGTAATGCTTTAGCCCCTCTTCATAATTTGTTTTATTAGCAAACTTTGTTATAAATTATAAGGCTAAGATCACGTGCTTTAGCAAACTGAATTTAACAAAACTTTTCACATAATTCAATATATAAATTGCAATTCAATTTATCTATTGAATTGAATCTCCAAAATGTCTTCCAAAAATGGAATCAAATTCATCAAAATCCAACAAAATTTGCAGCATTTAACTCTAGGAAAATTGTGCAAATTTATAGCTATTTCAGGGCTGGTTCTCTTCTTGTTCTATATTTTCATTTTGAACCACTTTCATAACCATTCTTCTAATCATTTAGCTCTCTCTAAATTCATATGGCCATCCAATTCTTCCAATGTTACAAATTCAAATTCAACTTCAAAAATTGCTCCCTCTCCTCCCACCAATATTAGCCACATTGTTTTCGGCATTGCCGGCTCCTTAAATGGATGGAAATTAAGAAAACCTTACATTGAGTCATGGTGGCAAGAAAATGTGACAAGGGGTTACCTCTTTTTAGATATTCCTCCTACTGATGAGTTTTTACCATGGCCTTCGTCGTCGCCTCCCTTCAGGATCAACGAGGACATCTCTCGACTAAAATCATACGCCAAAATTAGAAAGAAGTTTCAAGTTCGAGTGTTTCGAACGATTCTAGAGGTGTTCAAAGCAGAGAATAAAGACGTGAGATGGTACGTGATGACGGACGACGATACTATTCTGTTTGTTGATAATTTGGTTAATGTGCTAGCAAAGTATGACCACACTCAAAATCTTTACATTGGGACAAATTCTGAGTGCATTACTTCAAATCTTTTTGCTTCTTTTGGCATGGCTTTCGGTGGAGCTGGAATTGCCTTGAGCTATCCTCTAGCCAAACAATTAGTAGGAAAGATTGATGAGTGTCTAGCGAGATACCAGAATTTGTATGCCAGTGACTTCATGTTATACTCCTGTTTGACAGATTTAGGAGTTGCCCTCACTCCTCAGAAAGGTTTTCATCAGGTAAATCGTAAACCGTTTTCGATTATTTTTTCTTTCAGAATTACGTAATCTGTACGTCTATCTCATGAAATCCTAGCATAATCAAGGGCGGACTGTAGAGAGGGCTTGTTGAGGCTGTAGTCCAAGTAGCCCTCGTGAAAAAAAGTTTAATTATAATCATTTTACCCGAGTTTTTTTGGTAATGGCAGATTGATCTACACAATGACATATCAGGTTTTCTATCAGCTCATCCTCAGTCTCCGGTGCTCTCCTTGCACCACATTGATAGCGTAAACCCGATCTTCCCCACTCTCAGTCGTTCAGAATCCGTAAACCACCTGATGAAGGTGGCGAAAGTCGACAGTTCACGTCTCTTGCAGCAAACGATATGCTACCGCAAGCAAACCAACTGGTCTTTCTCTGTCTCCTGGGGCTACTCAACACATATATACGAAATGATATACCCTCGAAATGTTCTGGTGAAACCCCTTCAGACATTTTCGCCATGGAGAAAAAACGACAGGCCGCCACTTTTCATGTTTGACACCAGGGATGTCAAGAATAATTCCTGCGAAACACCCCATGTTTTCTTCTTTGAATCCGTAAAGAATTCTACAGGAAATCGAGTGGTTACAACCTATAGCCGGGTGTTGCCAAGAAACCTGCCGCCTTGTTCAACAAGTGGCAATCATTCTGCAGATTTCATCAAAAAAATTCAAGTTTTTTCTCCGTCAACAACGCTCAAGGAGGTGAGTTATGTTACTATCCTTGCTTTTACTTCATATCAGAATTTTTTCGGCATATTACAGATATGAGCATTTGTATCTTCCAGGAGGGAAAAATCGAATGCTGCGACATTGAGGAGACGACTGAGACGACTGTTACTGATGTCAAGTTAAGGGCATGCAGAGAAGATGAAATTATTTAATATTTCCTAAATTTGATTCAAATTTTTTATGTTCAGCACTGGTGCATTTGCAGAAAGTGTTGTTTACATGCCACCTTCAAATTCTTTCATCATGTTCCAAAGTTTTTGGTGAATTTTCAAGCTGATTTATGCCAGAAATCACTCTGTAAAGACTTCGATAAACAACTGTTTTTACCATTAACATCTTCTAGTATGGTTAATTTACAGCAAGCTCAAATTTCTATTTACTACATGATTGTCAAATAACCTAATTTTTTAATAATACGGTACGCTTTTTCAAAAAAAATAAAATAATAAAATTTTCTAAAAATTAATATCTTTGAAGATTAATTAACGAATTTTGTAATTTATTAACTTAATTATGTATATATAATCAAAATTAAGAATACGTATCATTTCCTCTCATTATTTATATCTTTCAAGATTAATGTCATATTTAATCTCCACTTGTGTTATTATGTAAAATACATTAATATATTGAAAGGTTTTAACTTTAGAATCCACTCTTGATACATATCGTTAGTGACTTATATCAAATCAATTCGGAATACGTATAGCACACTTAGGATACTAATAACCATGCTAACAACAACGATAAAGGCAAAAATCAGATATCAATTGGCACCAAGCATAAGTAACTTCAGAATTCAATAGAGTGCAAATAAGCATTGATAAATGCAAAAACAAATTGCGAAATTAGAAACTTATGGTTATTTTGAGAAAATCCACACAAATGAATGTCACTAACTGGGAAGAAAAATACACGCAGAATTACCACCTAATTCCGAATTTTCAGCATGTATGATATTCAAGAAACCTCTCATATGGCCCTATATTCCCATAATCCAATTGATATCTTATACCTACTTTTCTAAACCAACAATAACTTGAGCCTTCAAAGCTCGTCATTGACCTGGCATGCTTTTTCCTCGTCGTGAGCCTTTTGAAGTCCTATCAAACGAGCGTAGTCCACCCCCCTGCCAAGGCAAATTGAAAGTTTGTAAGTGGCGACAGAGTGAACTATCCTAACACACACTTTTTGGGAGATAGAAACAGGATCTTACAATAATGAACCCAAGTATTGTTGCCAGTTCGGACAGCAAAACAAACTGCACTGAGTATGAGCTTGTGTTGGCAGTAAGGCTCCAAAATCCGTTGTTCAATAACCCCGCCCCAGCAGTTGGTACCTGTCAACACAACTATGCTTAGTAAAATGTTCCTATACCAACTAGCCTCATCCATTTCCTCTCTCCTCCCAAAAGATATCATGAATGACACTTTTTTTAAAGAAATTTTCCGTGGTATAGCACAAGTGAAAAAGGGATTAAATGGTATTAGCTTGAAATTTTGAGAATTATGACAAGTAATTAGAAACGGATGCTTCAACAAAAAATAAACATGCTTTCCAATCATCATATACAGGCAATATAACTACATGACCCTCAACAGCCAAACTCAAGTTAAGACATATTGCTACATGACAATATTAATTGATAACTCATTGCAAGCCAACTACTGAATATCATCATGGTTCCGTTTGCGAGATTAAGAACTCAAAAAATGGAACTGCCAGGAATCTTTGAGACTTCACACCATTTTCTAAAGATATTAAAATAGCACTGGCATATATGATATGTATTAGCAAAATCATAGAAAAGATGAATGGAAAGGCAGTTCCAGAAATAATAGCAGACCAGGATTTGACAATAGTGATATGTATCTGAACCTACATACCTGAGGTTGCTAGAAACTGCCATGTAAACACCATAGGCAGCACTGGTGGAAAATTGGGCACTTTTCAACTTCAGCAGCAGCATTCTTATCCCACAGCCTTCCGTGCATTAATCACGGCATTTGTCACAGCTGTACCAACCTAGAACAACAAAATTGCATTAAATGCACACATATTCAGATTTCAGATCCTGAATTGAATAATCAAATCTCAAAGACATAATATCAATAGCAAATTTAATAACCCCTCAAGAACTTTATATGCACAGTATTTAAAACCTTAAAAAAAGGGACAAACACAAGCATAATTACAAACTAAATAATTGAAAGCAACGGAAAACATAGCCCAATGACAGTTTCCACGTGATGAGGAGAGTTTAAACTTAGCCAAGCCGCTACTATATGTTTTTATTTTTTTATTTTTTTTTGTAATCCAAATTCCCCGACCATTCCTACAAGTTCACAGAGTCCTATGTTGCGGCTATGGCCAAATCCTACAACCTTAAATGTCAAGAAACTATGGAATATCACAGTAAGGAGCGTGGAAACCATCACCTCTTTGTTGAAACCAATGAGCCTTAACACTCAATCCAACCCTTGAGGTTTAACTAATTTACCACTGGAAAGATGCAACTGAAAAGAGTCACAAAGATACCTGTTCCGTTTTCTCATTCTTTTTATACCAATTATGGGGTACAGAAAAATTATTTTTGACTAATGCTATGGCACTCCACTTTATACCAACATGAAGCTTTAAAGGAACCATATTCATCTAATTAAACCTCCAATCCCTTCTTATAAGTTTTACAACATATTATACTATTCAGAATGGTTCTCTTAAGTGGGGCTGTGGGTTGTGGTGTAAAGCTCTGTTTATACTCGATAAGCTCTCAATCACAGTAATACAACAATGATCCTTACACCAAATGCCTTCAAATGAATCTGATTCAATTTATCTTTTAAACATGTCCGATTCCGTTATATCCCGTTGATAATGAAAATATTATCAAGGTCACAAAGAGAACGATAAAATTAAAAACAGAGAAGCATGTGGCTAAATCAAGGACTTCCTATAAGGAAAATAGTAACTTACCAGTGTAAGCGGTACCAACTGCAAAAAGCTTTGTCCCATTTCGCTGCAGATAAATAATATAACACAAAATAAAGGTTTTGCTCTGCACAAGAAATTGAAATTCAAATAAAATATAAGCAACATACAAAAATATCTCCTTACCACTACGGCACCTAATCTCTGTAAAAATAAATATGAAGTTCCGGCAAGAGCAACCTGCATGAAAATTTAGTTCTCAGATGACTTCTGTAGTTCATATTTTCCAGAAACAGATTTTCCGGTATTGGACAATATGAACCTGAAATGCATTATCCGGACAGTTGTGAAGAACTTGGTAATAGATCCAGCACTGGCTGCAACAGATGATCGAAGAGAGACAGTAGAGGCAGAAGATAAACGAGCATGAAATCTGCAATTATGGCCATGACCTAAGAAAAAATGAATTGAAAACTTAAATGATGATATTACACATACTTAAATGCAAGGCATAGACTTCGCACATATTTTTAACTTCAAAAATAGGCTTTGGGATGACAATCTCTATTTTGGTCATGTAGCAGCAATTTACAGAAGATAATACTTGTTCCAACTAAGAAACTAAAGTCAATCCCCAGAAATACAATGCTGTTATCAAGGCAAAGATTCTATGGAACACAAGAATAACATATTTTGAACTTTATCCCAAAAACATGTAATTTTTAATTTAGTTATATTTTGTGCCCAAATGGACAAATCTAAAAACATTGAACATCAATTCAATTATAACTGCAACATATCAGAGAAATTGCCTTAGGTGAACATCAATATTGAGCACCCACTTGAGAGCAACCCGCTGCTTAATAAAGGGCAACCCTTTTAACGAAAACCAGAATCAAATCACAGTTTTTGCCAAGAAACATCAACCTTGCAGCAAAAGCAACAATAATCTGAAAAAATTACAACAACTGATCATGAATGAAAAGAACCATACCACATCTGCAAAAACATTTCAAGCTCCTTGAAAAATTTTTCTCTGCCCGATCATACTCTGCTGCAGTCTGGAAAATTGAAGAAAAGATTAACTTTGTGAGATTCGGATTCCAGGTTGGAATAAATTACAAAGTAATGGTGAGAGAGCAAGAATAGTTAGCTCCAGAGAGCAAAGCTTTTCTCCTAGATTCTGTGATTTACTATCTTATGCAAGCATAGTAAACAAACCCAACAAATCAATGAGACTATGCAAAACATGCACCAAGGATCACATATTGAAACCAAATACCAGCATAACACTGCCCCAAATACATAACTTTTAGCCCCACCTTAGTTTAGTCAATATTTCAGTATAATCTCTCATACACGTCAATACACATTATGTGTTGCTGTTACTAACTGAACATCGTTTAATTACAAAAACAGCCTTAGAGCATCATAATAAAATTGATTCTTGTAATTTTAACCCCTGCCATCTCTGTGCTTCCCGGAATCGAACTCAAATTCCAAATTTCAGAATGTAAAAACACCCCCATTGTCAGCATAACCAAGATGTGTCATCTACAGGTAATTAGCCAGTATCGATAACTTCCTTAACATTCCTATCTTCATTCATAACAAGGCAACATTAAGGTCTCAACCAGGCCCCCACGAATCCCCCATCTTCGAAAAGCAGGAAACTCAACCAAACCCGAATTAATACACAGCTTGTGAGCATACTAAATGTCGACTAATCAACCAATCCCTCAAATTACGATTTGGTCGAATTGCAGCACTTGGCAACATATTAGAATTGAAATTGCTCCAAGGTATTCGTGTTCTTTCCAATATCCTCTGTTTATAATACCCATACCTAATATATTAACAAATTTCACTCCTTGATCAATCAATCTTCATAAAAATCAATACTTTAACTTTCATTTCATTCACACAGAAAAACACAAACAAACAAGCTGCATCACCTAAAGCCAAATCACGCAGCCAAAAAGTGAAAAAACAACCTTGGTGAAGATCCAACACCGCACTCAAAAAAAACTTTAGCCAAGAAAAGATCATCAGCCAATAACCTCTCTTTAAACCCACCAAACTGCATCAACCAACGAAATACCCAGACTTTCAAGCTCAAAATACCTCGTTAAAACCGCCCGCGGGTCCTCCCATCTTGGATCGCCGCCGCCAAGTCCTTCGGCAGACTCCCCAACGACCTCTTAGCCTCCGCCAACACCATCATAGCCCCTCCCTGTTCTTGTCCCCCGCATTCTCTCCTTCCCCCTCCCGATTGCCACCATTGTTATTATTATATTATTGTTGTTGTTATTATTATTGTTATTATATTGTTGTTATCGTCGCCTCCAAGGAGAAGACCAGAAAAGGGGAAGTGAGTTTTGTGTGTGCGGTGATGCCGGTGGAGGGGAGGCGGAGGTGGTGGCGGAGGAGAAGGGAGAAGGGCGGTGGAAGTGATTTAGGATGGAGTTGTTGTTTGTTGTGGGGAGGGAAAGAGAGGGAGAAAAGAAGCAGGTAGCATGGACATTGTTTTTGCTGCTGGTGTGGTGGTTGAAATGACGCGAGGTGGCGAAGTGGAGGTGGCGAGGGTGGAGTGGCTGTTCCGACGGAAGACAGGCGTTGAGTCGTGCGTGTAGAGAAGATGTGTAATTTAGAAGAAAGTTTAAGTTGAGTTTGGTGGGCGCCGTTGAGTGTGAGAACTACGCCCAAAGGAGAAGGAGAAAGGGGGTTTTATTTTGGTCTTTTATGTTTCTAACATTTTTCCCACTCCCTATATTCTTGACGTGGACTCACTCTCCCTTAATCTCCTCAAGAAAAAAAAAATTATGAAGTTACCATTATACCCCCTCAAACTAGATAGTTAGTTTGATTAGATTTAAATCCAGGGGTGTCCAAATCCACCAATTACTGATTTGTGAACTGATTTTTCGATTCAGACAATTTTGAATCAAACCAAACCAATTTTAATTTATTTTCATGTATTTAATTTAATATTTTTTATAAATCAGATTTTTTATTTATTTTTTCTTTTAATTTAAATTTTAAATAATGTTTAATTATCTATATCTCCCAAACCAGTAACCAAATCATAAATGATTTTTTATTTTCTTTGAACCGAAACCAACCAGTTTTTTAGATAACTAAAAATTCGGTTCGGTTATCAGTTCGGTTTGGTTATCAGTTTAGTTCAGTTTTGCATTTTTTTTAACACCTCATTTAAATCTAGTATGGTCAATGACAAGTGGTCTAATACTCTAAGGTGTTAAGACAATTGTGGTTAATAAATGGTATCAGGGATGATAAACTATTTTGTTTAGAACTTTTTGTTTGGATTTATATGCAAACTAAAGAGTTTTTAAGATAAGCACTTTAAAAAAAAAAAAAATTGATTGTTTGGCTGTATTTCAAAAGTATTTATGGATTTTAAATCTAGATGGTTTAAATGTTTAAACGTAAGAAAAATTTACCTGATAGATAATTTAGTCTCCCAACACTTGCCTACAAGAGCATGCTTTCCAAACCCTCAACACCTTGATGCATGCTGTGACCTAATTATGATATTACTTGTTAAGATTAACGTTTAACACCAAATCAAACTAAATTGTTAGCAAAGGTCTCGACCCACTGTTCAGGTGACTCGACCTTTTAACTTGAACCACACAAAGAAGCTGAATCACTCAGCCAACAAAAAATGTTTATATTGTACAAATTTTTATAAATAAACTTTTAAAATTAACGAAAAATATATACAATATGATATTGAAATATCATAGCACATATTACTACATTACAAAAGGTATACGAATCATAATCCACGTGTAAAATAGCAGTACCTTTGAAACAAGTTTGATATTCTTTATTATGGTATTGAGACTCTAATTTTACTATTATTTTTATTTTTCTGTTAATTTGTGCATAGAAAATATTTTTTTCATTTTTTTTAATCATGAGAAAGTGTTTACCACGCTCTTGAGCACGTAATAAGTAGAAAAATCTTGTGGGTATTGGTGGTTGTGACAGAAACTGTTCAGAGAACACGACACAGTAACCTGTATTGCGTGTGAAGCACGCGCACAGCAGGTGTGATTTACTTTATAGTATTATTTAATTTGTTTTCCATTAAAAAAATAATCAAATCAAAAGGAATCTTAATTAGATATTAATAAAAATCAAATCAAAAGGAATCTTAATTAAGTATAATACATAAGTAATACTACACTCTTAATACTCTCACAATTTTCTCTCATTAACACCACATGTCAATTTATAATTTATCAATTCACATGAATCTCATCTGTCCATAATGGATCCCGCCTAACTAAGTCAATCACAAACTCCTACGTAAGATTAGTAAGAATTAGTTAGAGGGGTTAGTGAGATTAATATTATGTTATAATTGGAATCTTTACTGTTATATTAGTGGACCTCATGAGAATCGCATAGATTATAAATTGCTTTAATAATTTTAATTAATTAAAATCTAAAATTGGCATAAATATATCATAAAATTAGATAATTTGGAAAGAATAAATGATTTTTTTATATTTTTTGGAAATATTTTTGTATACACCTTTTTTAAAATACAAAAACCATTTTATTTTAGACACAAGATAAAAAAAAAAAAAAAGAATTAATTAATAGAGTCTACTTCCCCTATTGAATATAAGATTATTTTAATTACTTGTTGGATTTTAAATAACTTTTTGAATACGCGTGTTGTCTTTGTAAATAAAATTTATAAAAAGACAATTAAAATTTAATTTTGTATTTTTAATTAATTTTACAAAGTAGACTATTAGCTTTATTATAACTATAACTTCATAATATTATCATTAATACAATGTTGTCATGTGTACAATACATATATAAGTAAAGATTAAATTAATAACTTTATAATTTAACAATACTTGAAAGATAAAAAAGTTATAAATGAATGTCAGAATATTACACAAAGAATTTGTATAGAAAACATAGTTTATAATATACTATACCCTACACACAAAAATATATATAAACTCTAACAAATCCTATTAGAAAGAGTATGAAATTCTTAGGCGTTGATTTAGCCCCAAACTTTTAGGGGAAATAACTCAATCTTTCAAGTTTCAAAACACTAACACACGAATATTACTTTCCATTTATATTTGTTTAACTTGATCATTCATTCAAGTTTAGTGAAAAGAGAGTTAATCATCCCTTTAATTTATTGTTTATAATTATAAATAACTCGTATACCCTTTAAGTGTTATATTACAAGTAATGAGCGTTACAATGTTAATTTATGAAATTAGGATGATCATCTCTTTTCACTAACATAAAGGTGGCAAATACACCAAGGACAAAGAACTTAAACTTGTGGCTACATTTCCGCTCATAGAGAAAGTGACTAAGGCGGGCGTTCCATGATCAAATTCCCTTAAGACTTTTCAACACCATTTTTTAAAGTAGCAAATGCCTTCCTCTTGAATCTAAGAGCTAACATTTTTTCAAAATTATAACCAAAAAAAAAAAAAAAAACCCTCACATTTATTACTTTGGATATTAAACTTATAGAGTAATAATATTATAGGTAATTATATTATGTAGTGTGTTATAAAATTTAAATATGTTCCAATAATATTAGCTATTAAATTATTGCCGGGCCGGCTATTGATTTTTATTTACATCAATTAATTATCTTTTTATTGGTAAATAATTAATTAATTAATTAATTGGCACACTAGTATTAATTAGACTGTCACATCCGTTTGAGTATATGTACCCCCATGTGGTTTGGTACATCTAGAGTCTAGACAACTACCTATCCTGCCATCGGAACAATTATATTAAAAATATGAATAGTATTATGTATCGAATAACGTAACAAAATTCTGAGTATTAATTAATTTTAATTGAATATTAATAGACGATCAAGATTTTATCACGTCATTCAATGCATAAAATCGATGCATAATTTTCAATGATTTTATCACTTTCATAAAAATATTACCCTGAATATTTATAATATACGAAAAAAATGATAATATAAAAATTATTTAAATAATTTATAAGTGTAGTATCATTCATTTTATTTTTATTTTATTTCGTTATAAACAAAATTTTAATATAATTAACAAAATAGAAATAATATAATATTGGGTTTTTTTTTCTCTTGAAAAAATTTTAACATATCAAATTTTGAGGTGAAAATATGTAAAGAAATAAATAAAATAATATATAATATTGAATGAGGTGAAGATCTGATTCGCTTTTCCAAACTCTTGGGAAATCGCAGTCAAACCTAACTATTTTGTATTTTTTTTTTTTTTTTTTTGTTTCAATAATATATAATCTAATTTAAAATGTATTATTTGAAGCTTAAAATTCTGGAGAAAGACAAAATTGAAGACATTGTGGGCATTTCAACGCGGCTGATGTTATTATTCAACAGTTTTTATATAATAATATTTTCGGTGAATTTGCAATTTTATAAAGAATGAAAGAGTATAACTAAAAGGAGGATCTACTCATCATCCCGACCCTTGAGACACAACCAAGGGATGAGAAAGACCAAAAAGAATAAGAGAAGCTAGGATTTACAATCCTTTATAAGATTTTGTTAGACTTAAAAAGTACTATCATAATATAAGTTAAACCTAGTAGCAGATCCAAGAATTTCTTTTAGGGTGGGCTAAAATAAAAATTTATTATACATTACTATTTTTGTCCATTAATATTTTTTTTAGGGTGGGCCAAAATATATAAATTTACATATTAATATTAAAAAAAAAAAATTGAGGGTGGGCCAAAGTGGCTGGATCCGCCACTGGTTAAACCCTAATTGTTTGTATTTCTATACTGTTTTTATAACCATTGTTTTTATATTTTTTAAGCTATAAAGTTCGGCAGAATCCCAATTTTGAACTCAAGATATGTATATAGTTTTCAAAACGTTCCAAATTTTTTTTTTTTAAATATTGTTTCGATGACCATAAATACAAAGTTTTTCTCGATCGATCCATTCTTTATTTTATTTCTTTTAAAATTAATGAAGTAATTTTGCATGCATGGATTGCTCAGGCAAACACCTTGCATCCAAGACCATCGGTAATGCCAATAACACCACATTTATTTCGAAATTATGTTAGGTTTTATTCATTGAATTGGCTTATTTTTCAAAGTTATAAAGTTGGCCTCACTTTGTTTTTTACGTCTACAGGTAAAGGCATCCATTGCCAGACCACCCACAAAAAATTAAACAGCTAAAAATAATTGTTCTTTGATAAAATTGTGGTAAATATTTATAGGATTTTTTTTTTTAAATTTTGCAAGGAGTTATTGTTTATAAATAATCCTTTTGGGTAATATTGGACATCGATTATATTAATTATTTGATATAAACTGACGTGGCTTTAATAAATATCAGAATAATGTTTGTATTTTTTAAGTTTATATTTTAATGTTTTTTACTTCTAAAATAAATAATTTTTAGTCCCCGTAAGTTTAATTTTATAAGGACAATGGTTTTGAATATTAGGGTTTTGGTCCTTTTTTTTTTTTTTTTTTTGTTTCAAAATACTACTACTCTTTTAGTCCTTTAACTTAATAAAAATATCAGTTAAATGTTAAATTTATAATGAACTGACAAAAATGCCCCTTTTAGGAAAAAAAATGAAAAATTACTTACACAAACAAAACCAAATTAAAATAAATACATTACACA